GCCCCTATAGGTTTAGCATCATCACCGGCCAGTAATCCTAAGATTACCGAAGGCCTCTGAAACATATTAACAAGACAAGGGGCTAGGGGAAGCAAATATTAAAGTACAATGTCCATAGAGTTGTGCAGACTTATATGGGATAGAAAATTTAAAACTTTATTTACATATATGATGACGTCATCGCGTGTACAGATATAACAAAAGGGACATAGCCTTATATATAGAAAATAAACAAAAGCTTGTCCAGATAAACAAAAGTAAACCAAAACTTAAGACTTCATTTCAAACTTGACCACACTAAATTCAAGGAACCTTTACGTGAGACACGGTGGTTGGCTTGACAGAACAGATCCAGACTTGAAGTCCTAAGCTTGGTTGCGCGCCTGAACACCTACATACATATATAAAATAACGAGCTGGAACCCAGTGAATAACAATGGAGTAAAGGTTGTGATGAATGATGTCCATAACATATTTAGAAATCAGAATTTAGATTAGAAACAGATTCATATACGTATTCAGATTTGTTAACAGTCATTCGTAGTACATCCATTAGCTAACAGATCAAATTGGTCATAAAGACCTACGTGCAGAGTACTTGGTCATATAGACCCATATTCACATGGAATGGTCATTAAGACTCACGTGCAGAGTAAATGATTATGCATAATCAGTTCTATGAATGGAACCAGTGTAAAACCCTGGTACTAGGTAACAGATAGCACATGACAGATTCACATGATGCTAACGATGGCACGAATACATTTTTAAAAAATTGGGCATTCATTCATGATTCACAAAATAACATTTCAAAAAATAGATCATATCGTATCAGTTGAAAAATACTTATAGTCAACATAGCTTTACAGAGTTGTTACTCACAGATAGTGCTAGACGCAAAACAGACGGAGCAGACTGATCACGGACGATAACACATGACCTATACAAACACGTGACAGATACACATTGAAACACACGCTCGAAAAACACTGGACTTATTTCACTTCATTCTTAGTGTGTTTCTAATTCATTTCATGATTATAGCTTAAACCATGGCTTAAGAATGCCTAAGATGGAATGAGGATGCAATTAAGCACTTTGAAACATTTTGTAAAATTTAAAAAAATAGGGCAGTTCACTCGAGCAGTCTGTAAGGTCTGCAAAAGTGTTGGAGCTCTTATTTCACGCTTGAGCCAACTTTTGGCTGCTTGAGCCAAGGTTCAAAACAAAGGGTGGTCACTTGAGCGGCTTTTTGGTCGTTCGAGCCAACCATCAATCTCCGTAAAACTTCTGAGAGCTCGAAATTTATGCTAAAGCGACAGTTTGGTTGCTCAAGTGATGCGACCAAATTCTGGAATTTTCAGATTTCAGTTCCAAGTTGAAAGCCCAATTTCAAAGCTTCAAAGTTTGTTCTTTTGGGCCAAAACTTGAGAAAACTCTTGAAAATTTGTACAACATTATGAATTGAAGATCATTTCACAAACTCAAGGGCCGAAAGTATGTCAACTATTCAAAGTCAAACTTGAAACTTCATGTATAACACATACATGCATTTTTTTGAGTTCAAAACTTCCAAGACATGAATAAATAAAGTGTTTTCATGTAAAATCATGGTGAACTCTCAATATATAGCCAAAATATGCACTTACATGTAAGAATTTGTGAAAATAGAACTCAAAAATCGTGAATTATGCACGCAATGTATGAATTGATCTCATTTCTATCTTCTAAGCTCAATCCTTGTTTTTTCACTCGCTAAAATCTCTTGAATTCACATGTCATCTAACTCTATGTCATAAATTAGAGTTGATTTCTTACCTAGAAGCTTTAATTGCCTTGGATTCTAGCAAATCTTGCTTGCTTTCTCCAACTTCCTTCACTGTTCTAGCAATTCTCCTAACTTGATCTCAATTCCACTTCAAAATTGGCTCTAATCTCTCTCTCTCACGGTTTAGAGGTCACAAAGATGATGAAATGTATGTGTATACGATGGTCTAGAAGTCACTAGTGCCTTATATAGGCTTGCTTAACATTAGGCTAATTAAGTGTGATTAGTTCTAATTAATTTATTCTAATTATTTGATTCCGAATAGAATTCCAATTAAACTTATCATAAAATCCTAAAAATCCTAAATAACATGTGAACCTAACCAATTTCGTGTTTGGATGCCGATAAGGCCTTCAATTCGCATGTTGAAACGAAAATTCAAACAGATATTCCTACGTCAGACATATATGATCACAAATAACACATGAAATGCACAATTAACACATGATTTCATCTAATCACTTGATTGACATTCTTAATTTTGGATTACTAGCTAATCACGGAGTGGAGTTGTTACATTCTTCCCCCTTTAAATAGTTTGGTCCTTCAAACTTTAAGCACTTTCATATCAGAAGAACATCGGGTCTAGTGGAAACAATTCCGGATATCTTTTCATCATATCTTCCTCCGTTTCCCACGTTGCATAGGTTCCTCCGTGTTGTTGCCAATCAACTTTGACCAACGAAATTTCTTTGTTCCTCAATCTTTTAATCCGGCAGTTCACAATCTGTATTGGTCGTTCTTCATAAGTATAGTCGTCTTTCAAAAACACGTGAGTTGGCTTAATAACATATAGTGGATCTTTGTCAAATACAATAGATATTAACACCCCATGTAGTCTCACAATCTCATTCACATAGATGTTAGCCAATTTATCCGCATTATAAAAAGTTTTGACAAGTAAAAAGTGAGCAGACTTAGTCAAATGATCAACAATAACCCAGATAGAGTCCATACCTCTAGATGAACGAGGTAGACAGACAATGAAGCCCATCGTAATATGTTCACATTTCCATTTCGGTATTGGAAGTGGATGAAATAATCCAGCGGGTCGTTGATATTCGGCTTTCACTAGTTGGCAATGCAAACACTTTGCTACAAAATCAGCAATATACTTATCCATTCTAGGCCACCAAAAATGTTGTTTCGAGTCATGGCACATTTTCATGTTTCCCGGATGCATAGGAAGTTTAGAGTTGTGGGCCTCAGTCATAATACGTTTTCTCAGCTCTGAACAATCTGGTACACAAATGCCTACCATTAAATTGCAACACATTAGTTTTAACTATAAATCCCGGTCTCGGTTTAAAGTCAATTTCTTCCACAATCTTTTTCAGAAATTCATCTTCTAATTGGCTTTCCTTAACTTCCTCAATAATTGCTGGCTATGCAGAAATAACAACTAAGACTCCACTTTATTCACGCAAAACAATTTCAATTTCATTTTTGTCTAAGTCACACAACAATTCTTTTTGACCGGTGAGCAAACATGCCAAATTCCTAATGGATTTTCTTTCAGATTTGTAAATAGTCATGCATGGTACATCCTAATAGATCTGATTGGTCATAAAGACCCACGTGCAAAGTACTTGGTCATATAGATCCATATTCACATGAGACGGTCATTAAGACCCATGTGCAGAGTAAATGATTATGCATAATCAATTCCATGAATGAAACCCGCGTGAAACCCTAGTACTAGGTAACATATAACACATGACAGATGCACATGATGCTAAGGATGCCACGAATGCATTTCAGAAAATTGGACATTCATTCATGATTCACAAAATAGCATTTCAAAAAATAGATCATGTGATATCAGTCGAAAAATACTTATAGTCAACATAGCTTTATAGAGTTATTACTCACAGATAGCACCAGAAGCAAAACAGACAGAGCAAACTAATCAAGTGGACGATAACACGTGACCTACACAAACACATTACAGATACACATTGAAACACACGCTCGGAAAACACTTGACTTATTTCACTTTGTTCTTGGTGTGTTTCTAATTCATTTCCTCATGATTATAGCTTAAACCATGGCTTAAAATGCCTAAGATGGAATGAGGATGCAATTATGCACTTTGAAACATTTTGCAAAATTTCAAAAAATATGGCAATTCGCTAGAGAGAAGCTTTGGTCGCTCGAGTGGTCTGCACAGCCTACAAAAGTACTGGGAGCTCTCATTTCACGCTTGAGCCAAGTTTTGGTCGCTCGAGCCAAGGTTCAAAACAAAGGGTGGTCGCTTGAGCAGTCTTTTGGTCGCTTAAGCCAACCATCAATCTCTGCAAAACTTCTGAGAGCTCAAAATTTATGCTCGAGCGACGGTTTGTTCGCTCGAGCGATATGATCAAATTCTGGAATTTCCAGATTTCAGTTCCAAGTTCAAAGTCCAATTTCAAAGCTTCAAAGTTCATTCTTTTGGGCCAAAACTTGAGAAAACTCTTGAAAATTTGTACAACATTATGAATCGAAGACCATTTCGCAAACTCAAGGCCCTAAAGTATGTCAATTATTCAAAGTCAAACTTAAAACTTCATGTATAACACATGCATTGTTTTGAGTTAAAAACTTCTAAGACATGAATAAATAAGTGTTTTCATGTAAAATCATGGTGAACTCTCAAGATATAGCCAAAATATGCACTTGCATGTAAGAATTTGTGAAAATAGAACTCAAAAATCATGCATTATGCATGCAATGCATGAATTGATCTCAATTCTATCTTCTAAGCTCAATCCTTGTTTTTTTACTTGCTAAATTCTCTTGAATTCACATTTCATCAAACTCAATGTCATAAATTTAGAGTTGATTTCTTACCTAGAAGCTTTAATTCCCTTGGATTCTAGCAATTCTTGTTTGCTTTCTCCAATTCCCTTCACTTTTCTAACAATTCTCCTAGTTTGATCTCAATTCTTCTTTAAAATTAGCTCTAATCTCTATCTTCTCTCTCTCTCTCTCTCTCTCTCTCTCTCTCTCTCTC